TGGATGGATGGATGGATGGATGGATGGATGGATGGATGGATGGATGGATGGATGCATGGATAGATAGATAGTTAGATTTTTTTGTTTATTTACCTTTCAACCAAGCGGTCACCAACTGAGTAACGCCACTGATTTCCCCGGGCAACGCCGGGTATCCCGCTAGTATATATATATATATATATATGGGACTGCGCAATGGTGTTGACCGGAAAAATTTCCGATGAAGCCTAAAGCTGCTCCATGATGCCATAATATTATAAGGCTTAGCACAGCATGTAGCAATATATTGTCTATAATATAAACTCTATATCCGTAACGTTGGCTAGCATGACACGAGAAGAAGTTTATATCCGCCTCACAGCCCCGAGTGATCCCCTGTATCCCAGTCTAGTTGCATCATCAGGTAATATTCCCCGGTGCCCCGCTGATTGACAGGAAAGTACTTCAGAAATTTCCCCTGAAAGCCGTAAAATAAAGGCGGCAGCAGCTTTGCTAGTGTGCTTTTACGACGCTGACCTGTGAATTTGTGCGCAGGACAACAAACAGGTCACGCTGCTGTTACATGCTGTGTGGGCGCGCGTGCATGCGCGTGTGTACGTGCGCGCCTGCGTGTCCGTGTGTACGTGCGCGCGCGCGTGCGTGCGCGTGCGTGTGTACGTGCGCGCGTGCGTATCCGTGTGTAGGCCTACGTGCGCGCGTGCGTGTGAGCGTAAGTGGACGTGAACGTCCGTGTGTGCGCCCCCGTTTGTGTGTTTTAGTTCGTGTGTGTGTGTGCGTGCATGTGAGTGCGCGCGTGTGAGTGCGCGCGTCTGCGTGTGTGCACCTAAAATTTGCTCTGCGTGCGTTGCTTACCGATGTCGACGCTAGAGATGGCACAGTGTCATGGATGGATGGACAGGAGCCGCCACTGTTACTACTTGCAAGAACCACTGCCGAGTTCTTGCGAGCCGGGGAGGCCGAGTTGTTATCATACCATGGAGTCGGCAAGAAATGCGAGCCAAAATTCCCATATCTACCCCCATCGCTAAAACTGCGATGCCCTCGGAAATATTATTAAGTCGTCGTCGGTGTACTTCTCCTCTCCTTCTACTCCTTTAGTAAGAACTAAATACGTTAGCAAACACGAACGCTGGTGTAGTCAGTAGCGCGTTTTGTTTCACCCCGTGATTGTATTTGCACTCGCCATCGTCGACGCAATTTGTTTAGAAACCCTATATATATGCGGCCTACAGAGAAACTTATTACGCTGTCGCGGAAGAGGCGGAGTAAAAGTTTCTTCTTTGGAGACTCTAGAATTTCTTGCATTAATAAATTATTTCAGTGAGAAATTGCGCGAGACAATAAAAATTGTAGTTGCTGGGCGGCATGATTAGATTTCCTGCATTTTGCATGAATTTCGTTTGCGTTTGATGTTGCGTGAATAGAAACACAACATCGGTGACATAGAATCTGTACATTTCTAATTAATAAATTTTAAAATTAAAACACGCTACTCGATCGAAAGGCGTTTTCAACGATTTTGAATATTGTGCAGCCAATCCTAAACAAAATCATAGTTCTAAAGTAATTTAGAGGACAAATTAATTAATTAGTTAATTAGAGGATAGTGACAAAGTGCCGGATAAGTTTCTAGTTTGTTGTTCGCAGTTATAAGTGAGGTGTGGGATTTTTTACATTGTCACCGCTGAGTTTTGAGGCCCGACCTGCTGTAACCGATTAAACAGGAACATAATAAGTATATATTAAGTAATAATAATAATAATAATAATAATAATAATAATATAATATATATTATATATATATATATTAATTAGTTATTATGTTGCGCTGTACGTTGCTTTGATATGAAACTGTCCGTAACTTTGCATGTGTTATATTTAACGCTGAATCACATATGTGATCGCTGAAGGTTAAATAAAAAGAAATTCTAATCGTAAATAGTGTCAACGTCTTGTGGAATTTGCTTTTGGCCCCTGGTTTATATTGCCATTAAAAAACAGAAGATAGTACGAGACGATCAATCTTTTCAATAGCCAACTAACGCTGCTGTCTTCTTTAATAATAGATAATTGCTATGTTCGGGTGGCCCCGGGGGTGACGGAGCTGTACATCGCGTGACGCATCGCTGGGCAGTATTGTAACGCTGGCTTTAGGTGACATTTAGGTTCTGTACCTGCTCGAATTCACATTAAAATCGCTATGCTATGTAACTCTAATTTCTAAGCCGGATTGGCATTGAATCGTACCAATACTAATTAATTCTTTGTTTTTTCACTGAGCTCGCCACCACCAACCACACACACACAGTTTGTGTTTACAAGACACGAGTTTCGACCTTGCTTAGTCTCTACATAGACTGAAACAGTACTTTGTTTTGTGTGTTTGTGACGTGCGTGGGGCGTCGGGCGTTTCGACGTGTAGCGTGATGTGAGCGTCGCGTTTTTGTTCGCGCATCTGTGAATGAGGTCGTGCGTTCTGTTTTCATCCCTGCGTGTGCCCGCCTGAGTGTGTCGCGCTGCGTACGCTGTGTGTGATGCGTGTTATGTTGCTTGCATGTGGGTGCGCGTGTGTACGTTGCGTACGCGGCGTGCGTGCGGGTGCAATGTGCCTTGTATGTATGTGTTCGTACGTGCGTGCGTGCGAGCGTGTGTGTGGGGTGCGTGTGTGTATGCTATGCTATTCATAAAGCATACATTTGACAAACGACAATGCCGTGCTTTTAGCGGTAATGCTCATTGACCAGCGAACAAGGCACTTTGCTTATTAGCGCTTTAGGAAAGACCGCAGTCAGTTGAGGACCTGATGCCCACTTTTCGAAACATCGGAGTCGTCCATCTGGTCTCTGCGCGTACGTGCTTCCCATGCCGTCACGTCACGCTCTTGTTTACAGCCAGCCCAGCTTCTATGCGGGAGTATTTATAATTTAGACGTTTATTATACATGCACTCACCCGTCGCTTGGCTCCTTCCTGCATGTCGCCGCGGAACTGCCCCACACATTCAGCCCTCGTTACGATATGTGTATTCGCCGTATTCACTTGTCTCTATTCACGTCCCGAACGCACACACAGCAACACCGCGGGGGCGTACACGCAGGGCCCCAACGCCCCCGGGCAGCACACACCACACAGACACACCACACACAACAAACGGGACCGCACGCACACCGCTATCCACGCAGCAGCACGGAGCACCGCTGTTCACCGCGGCACGCACGCACGCCACGCGCGCGGGTGGGGGGGGCGTTACCCGCGCACACCAGTCGGACACACAACAGCCGACACCGCCGGCGCTACCAGGCGCACACACACGCACGCACACACACGCGCACACGCACGCTCTTATTGCACGTTTTTTATTGTTGTTATTTGGTTTAAGGCGAAAATATTCCGGATTTTTTTACCAAAAATAAAATTGTGACGTGTGACAGCGAAATACAATTAGGTGGATGACAGCGATGTATGTCGCGCACGTATTTAAAAATTGCTTCGTGCCCGCGCACAGGTATACCCAACAACGTAACCATGCAGAATCTATTGCAGATCGCGCTGTTCTATACGTTAAGCGCTAACTAGTGGTGTGATGGATCGACTGCATGAGCGAGCCGAGCCTTTCTCGAATTCTCGGATTTACTTACTACTTAGCCATTGTGCAAGTGTAATTTTAAAAGGCTTAGGCCAAACAAACAAAAACTGGCGTGTTTCCGGGTGTAATCGGGCTACCTTGGAAATTCCCCGACGAAACGTTTTTATCGCATTCTCTGAAAAAATGAAAAGACGTCAAATACGACGTCCACCGCAGCATGTGTTTAGAAACGCTTATTACGGTGCATGTTTTTGTGGTGGCTGTTGTTAGCCTGATCTTCTGTCTTACTGGTGGGGTGGGAGAAGAATGGACATAGTTATTCTATGTCACTACGAGTAGCAGTGAACCGTAAAAAATAGCCTAGCTAACCTGTCAAATTAGCAATAAATCGTGATGGCATCCAAAATAGTTTCAGCCCGCCTGCCTGCCCGCCTTCCTGCTCGCCCGCCCGTCTCCCCTCCCCTCCCTTGCGCCTGGCTGCCTGCCTGCCTGCCTGCTTGCCTGCCTGCCTGCCCGTCCGCCTACCTGCCTCCCTGCGTACGTGCCTGCCGGCCTGCCTGCCTACCTGCCTGCCCGTCCGCCCACCTGCCTCCCTGCGTACGTGCCTGCCGGTCTGCCTGCCTGCCTGCCTGCCTGCCTGCCTGCCTGCCTGCCTGCCTGCCTGCCTGCTTGCCTGCCTGCCTGCCTGTCTGCATGCCTGCCGGCCTGCCTGCCTGCCTGCCTGTATGCCTGCCTGCCTGCCTGCCTGCCTGCCTGCCTGCCTGCCTGCCAGCCTGCCTGCCTGCTTGCCCGCCTGCCTCCCCTCCCCTCCGCCTGCCTGCTTGCCTGCCTGCCTGCCCGTCTACCTTCCCCAGCCTTTAATTCAATACAACAGGAACACACGTATGTTTTGTTTGGCCTTATTGTCATGGAAATTACTTTTTGGATTTACATTGGCGAGGTCTTTCCAGGCAATTTACATTTCCACGTCGTTGTTGAGGTGTAACGAGCAGTAGCAACGTGAATTAGTGGGTTGGTACAGCGGTGGTTAGTTGAACTAATCACTCCACCTAGAATAGAATTCACGAAGGATGCCAAACTGGTCTGTGTAACGACTGCCAGACACCGAGACACGCGTAACCATGCCCTGGTCATCTTGGCCCAAATACGCGCCCGAGCGAGAATTTCGATCTAAGTGACGGGGCCGATTTATTTAGCGATTTCTTTACCGAGCGACGATTTCGTTTCAGATCCGACAGAAACTGCGTAGCTCAAAGGAATCAAAAACCTCTACGGGTAGCCAGCGGCAGAGCCCCCTACACGGCAACCACGCAGCGATCGGGCCGGCGGCACACGCCTCACACAGCGTCTCACGGGCCATCCCAATTCCAGGTATCGCTCACTGAAAATCCTTACCACTTCTCTCTCTCTCTCTTTTTGACATAAATCGTACTTTTGCACGACCTGGTTTTCACGTTATCTACCGTTCTATGGCATTGCCTAACCGCAAATTATGCTACAGAGCAACTCGAAGGAGGCGCGGCAGGGATCGTGTCTCCCCAACGGTTGCTATGCAAAACACATGCGAAAAGGTACAATCAGCTGGAGCGTCAGTTTACTCGCTAAGATTCATACACATCATTCCTCCGCGGGTGAAGTAGTTCAGATATTTTACCAGTGCAGCGTTTATTTTTAATAATAATAATAATAATAATTATATTATTATTATTATTATTATTATTGTTATTATTGTTGCTTGTAGTTGTCTTTGGATTATAGAAACTGGTCACTATATCTTTGCATGTTGTTATTAATTTAACGGCTGATATCATATGTGATTGTGAGAGGTTAAAAAAAATTATTTAATCGGTATATAGTGTCAACGTCTGGTGAATTTGTTTTTTCCCCTGGTTTATATGGCCATTTAAAAAAAAGAAGAGTAGTAGGAACGATATATCTTTTCAATAGCCAACTACGTGTGTCTTCTTTAATAATAGATTAATTGTATGTTCGGGTGCCCCGGGGAGCTCTAATCGGTGACATCGCTGGGAGTATTGTAAGCTGGCTTTATGACATTTAGGGTTCTGACCTCTTCGATATTGCACATAAAATTTCGCTATGGATGTAATTAATTTCTAGCCGATTGCATTAATGTACAATTACCTAATGTAATTCTTTGTTTGTGTTCACTCGAAACTTAATTTGTGTTAAAACACGAGTTTCCGCTGTTAGTTCTTACCCCATGAACTGAAACCGAGTAGTTTTGTTTTGTGTGTTTGTACGTGCGTGTGTGCGTGCGTGCGTGCGTGCGTGCGTGCGTGCGTGCGTGTCTTTGGCTGGTGCTGACGCATGCGGAATCAATACTCACGCTGTGTTCAATTCGTAGCCACGCGCTGCAGGAAATAGCAGTAGAAATTTGCATTTGGTACTTCATTGCATTTTCAGCTCATTCGAACCTGATCCAATTTTGCACGATGCAGCTGCTGGGAGGCTGATGATAAAGCACTGCTGCATCTCTCCCTCGTATCTTCAGCCTCCTTTCTTCCTCTCGTTTGCATCTCTGGTTTCTCTCTGCAGCCTCCTCTTCCTCTCTTTTGCTTCTCTCCTTCCTTCCTGCGCCTTCTTTTCGTTCTTTCTATTGTATCTTTTTTTCCTCTCTGCAGCATCCTGCCCTAATCTCTGCAGGAGAGAGTCTTCTTTCCTTTCTCTGCGGTGGATTCTTCCCTACTTTATGCGACTTTTCCTCACTCTCGCAGTAAGCATTTCTTCCTCTCCGATGCACTCCCTGTCCGCCTCCCCGAGGTTACGCTCCCTATATACTTTGTGCGGCTTCTATTCTTAGTATCGGTTGAATCTCTGCTTCCTTGCTTAAAGCTTTCCTTCAGCTGCGCGTTCTGCACGTCCTCTCCGTTAATCCCTGGCAAGCTTCTTCCACCTTCCCCTCAGTCTATGTCCGCCCTCTGCAGCTGCTAACAGGGCTCCCAGTTCTTTCATTAATCTCTGCCACATATTTGCGTTCTCGTTGCTGCTGCATTTCCTTTCTTGTCATTTTCCTCTGCAAATTTGGGCTTTTCTATTCGCTGCATCTATATCTCCTGTTCCTCTCTCTCTCTCTCTCTCTCTCTCTCTCTCTCTCTCTCTCTCTCTCTCCTCTCTCATCTTTCTCTCTCTCGCTCTCGCTCTCGCACTCTTCG